TGTTCCTAATTAATGTGACACTATAGTCACACCTGAAACTCTGATGAGGGGAATTTGCTATCTAAGACCTTGGAATCTGTTAATGAAATATTATTTTGAGTCTAAATCCAGGTATGGTTAACAACAAACTGATTGAGCTACTGACCCAGACGTCAGCAACCTGCAAAGAGGTTTGTGAGCTGCACCTATGAGCTGCAAGAAGGTGTTCTCATGGGAAGGTCGGGAGAACGACTTTTCTGCATGGCTGAGGTAGGATTCTCCTGACTCAATTTCCCCACTGACACCTGGCAGACTTTAAACCTGGCTCAATGCAGTTGGTCATTATATAACTTCTGCCTAGAGTTGACATGAATCTGGGGAAGCGTTGTTCCCTTACTTTAGTTATGTTCTTTCATGGCAAATTCCTATATTCATAAGTTTGCAGGCATAAATATTGAATCTATTAAGCAATAGATTGATGCAGGAACATCTGAGGTTATTATATAGTAAGATGAAAAAGATTCAGTTATTTGGCCTAGAATTTCAGAATTAAGTATATTCGTGTATAAGTCAGGATCCTTTAATTTCTCATAATGGTTATGATGAGGTCTGGAGGTTTGGGGTGCTGGGACTCTAAGGTCACAGCACAACGGTACCTCCTGAAGAACTTCAGCCCAGGTCTTTCAGCCAGGGGAGAAGTTTGTTGGAGGTAAACCATATGGGCCAGATGACCCCCATAAGGAGGAGCAGCCATGAGAAAGTCTGCATTTTATATAGGGATCAGGGTGGATCTTACATTCACTAAAGTAACTTTGAGTGACCAGAGGAAGGGCTGGGAAAAGGGTCTAGGAGAGAATTCTGATTGGAATGTCTGAGAGATTGAATAGACAATAGGAACAGATAATGAAGGGAACTGGAGGGAGGAGGTTAGAAAGGCATCTGAATAAGATCAAAAAGTGGGGCCGGGGCTTTCAAAGGAAGATGGGGAGCTGGGGCCCTTAGACAAATAAGAGCCACATTCTTTCTGGGGTAAGAGGCAGGGGTCGACTTGGACCCTTACCCCATCATTAGGGGATAATTAGGCCAGGAGATTGTGGAACAAGGATATTATTCTGTTATTTAGTTAATACTTAGTTAATGTTAAAGGTATCTCAGTTTGTTACAATTAATGTTAAAAGAGGAATAGCTTATGGCTTATCTTGTAAATGCCTTGAAAGAAGCATCTACTTTAATTAAGGATTATTTATTTGTACATGACTAGAAGTTGGGATTGTTTTGTTATTTGATATGTACTGGTTTTAAATTAACTACTTTGTATTGGAGTGTGTTATTAATTCCTTAGTGGAATATCATCCTCCTGATGAGGAATATGAATAGGAATGAATAATGAACTAATGCAAGGTATAAAACTAGAAGTAATGCAGAATGTAAGGCTAGGTTCTAATTTTGTTTTAATTTGAATGTCTTGGAACATGACAACTGGACAAAGTTCCAATTTTGATCTTGTAATGGTGAAGACATAGGGGTTGAGTTAATTTTCATTATTTGCCCTGGTTATTGGCAAGGTAATTTAAAATTGTGCTGAGATCAATCTTGTAGGAGAGTGGATACAAGAAGAAGGATCTCTGCAGGAGGAGTCTGCTGGACACTGTTTGAACAGCACTTAGACAAGAAGACTTCACCGGATGATGTTGAGAGTGTCAGACAGCGGTATGAGAAGAGACTTCTGAAGCTTTAAATGGACAATTTATCATTACTTTTGGGTCTCTGTATCTGTACTTAATAAGGGGACTGCCCCCTTTTTAATTTGTCAATGCGTCGGTCAACTCTTTCCTTCCTTCTCTCATATTGTTTTAAGTCCCCAAAATCCCTTGATGAAATGTTGCCCAGCGGCACAGTCCCAGGTAGAACCATCACTAAGGCATTGCAAGGTTTAACCACTTCAGCTGAGGAGTTGGCAGAGAATTCTGGGATAGATAACTGATTAAAGTGATGGTTAGAATCCTGGTCTGGCATCCATCATCACCTCTCTAACCGTAGCTGCGGGAGTTTTAACTGCAGTAAGGTGCTGCATCAACCCTTGTATCAGAGGACTAGTGCAAAAATTAATAGAAACAGCACTAACTAAAAGTATCCCAATAGGACCAGCTATGAGAATTCAGGTAACAGGATCAGGTGGAGGTAGGATGATGATTGAGAGAGTTAATGATCATTCCTACTCCTCTGATGAAGAATGCGAACTGATGCTAGAATGCTTTGAGGAAAGACAACAGGAACAAAAAGTGTAGAAACATAATTCTTATTGAGAAGAGGAGGGAATTGTGAGAGTCAGGTAAAGGTTAAATTTCCACAGAGAAAGAGATTTAAAGAACAAAGGTCCCAGGAAGTGGTCCTACAAAACTGGCGGGGGCTAGACCTCCTGACTGCCGAACAGGGAGGCATTTGCCTTGCCTTACAAGAGAAATGTTGCTTTTATGCTAATAAGTCTGGATTGGTTCGAGATAAGATAAAAAAATTGCAGGAGGATTTGGTCAAAAGACACCGTGAGCTGTTTGAAAATCCCCTCTGGAGTGGTATGAATGGTTTCCTGCCCTATATTCTCCCCTTACTAGGACCAATATTTGGTTTCCTGCTCCTTATATCATTCGGACCATGGATAACATGGAAAGTGATCGCATTTGTAAAATTCACAGATAGATGGCATCTTGGCTAAACCCATTCAGGTTCACTACCATCCCCTCGAAACCGGAGATCCTGACTTGTTCTCTGATTTGTATTCACAAATTTCTCCCCCTGGCAGACCTGGATAGCCAATGACGGGTAAGATCCCTCGGGAACAATCAGCCTAAGCCAGGGATGACAGGTGTGACTGTCTCCTCCCTATGACGGGTAAGATTGTATTCCTGTGAGGACAACCTAAGACAGGCACAGGTCCAAAGAGATACTTTTCCTCCTCCTAAAAGAATAGAAAAGGGTGACCTGTAGGGGACCAGGAGCCAGTCACCTGTGCTAACAACAAAACGGCACGATTGTAAAAGTAGATTCCCCCATTCTTCTTTGGAAACAATATGTTCTGATAACCTTATCATCCCTTCCTTGACCTTTGGAAAGCCCTTACTCCCTTTCCTTGGAGTATAATTACTGCTAGTATTCCCTTCAATAAACGAGACTTGATCAGAAAGCCTGTCTTGTCTCCATTCTTCGCGTCTCTTGTCCCCATCCCCTTTTTCTCCCTTCAGGCCCTCGTTGTGTCCCGCGGGTCGGGACAATTTTGTATTTTTCTTTGTTTTGTGGGTTGCTATGGCCCAAGAATTAATCACCAAAGCAAGCCTACTTGTAATGAACTTCTGTGTATTTAGCTAGGCTGTACCTCAGAAAGTTTGCTGTCAATACTATACTCAGCAGGAAAGCCAGGTGGTGAAGTGATAGAGCACCAGCTCTGAAGTCAGGAAGACCTGAGTTCAAATCCAGCTTCAGACACATAACACTCACTAGCTGTGTCACTCAACCCCAATTGCCTCATCAAAAAAAAAAAATACTGTACTCAGCACCTCTCCAGCTTCAGTCTGGTACTCCACTGATACAGCTTTTGAGAATCCAGGGCCACCTCCACCCAAAATAGGCATTGGAGTAGGACTTGATTAAGAATTAATCTGTGCTAGAGAAGTTTTAGCACAAATGCAAAACTCCTGAAAACCAATTCATGCTTCAAATGTTCAAAAGAAATGAAAATTAATTACATAGTTCAAAATAAATCCCTTTGGATGCTATTCCCAGAAGTCTAAAAACTTCCAGTCACAAGGCTGAGGCAGCCCCACTCGAACCAGTATTCTCTCAGTTGCAAAACACATCATGCCTGCAGTAAAAGGGGAGAAGAGAGAAAGAGAAGATGAATTTGTCTTTACATTCTGTGTACAGCAAAGATCACATTTTTGCATCGAATGTTGGGTTCTGAATCAGAGATCACAACCCTGCCCTTATTTATGATCATTTGCTACTATCCAGATGCTCTGGAGTCTGGGAGCTAGGATCGTAATCCCCAGTACATCCATCAGTGTACCAACCCCCTCCTGCCTTCAAGTTAGCAGAGACTAGAGATATTCTGCCTTATGGTTTACAGAAAATCATGTCTCTAATGCAACCACAACATTCAAAAAAACGCCTACTTGCAATCTCTGTTCTGTGCAGGCTATTCCCCCCACCCTCACCCCTAGGCAGCTAGAGTGTAACAAGTTATCTATTAGCTACTCAGGTTATTTGCCATTATTTTTTTTAAAATGCAATTAAAATAGAATGCAATCTACAGTTGTCTTGAGTAGCAGAGGGTTTAAACATGGGGAGCAAGAGAGGAATTGGTTACAGTAATGATGTAATGCCCTATGGCAGAAAGGTGTATAACTCAAGTGTTAGAGACACAGATGCCAGCTTGGGCGTCCTTGTTGAGGCTAGCTGTTGGCTCTACCCATCCTGATTCACCAGCAATTAGCTAGCTTTAGCCACAGGAGGTTGAGTTACCTGCATAGGACAGGACAGTCATAACCAAGAAAAGCTGTTTTCTCCTGAGGGCATCCAGACTACTGAGTCTATTCCCAATGCTGTGAATTATAGTAATTGTTGTAATCTGCTACTTCTGGGTAATACTACCACCAGGACACTATCCTTATTCTTGCTCTGACTTAATTTTAAAAACAGCATAAAGGTATTCTGTCTGAGAGCAAGAGGACATACAAAATGATTTTTAGGTGGAGGTCCCCAGCAGCCCTGTGATTCTATAATAGAAAAGATAGTAAAATAGGAGAGGAAGAAGAAATATGTAATAATAACAGAAATGGACATTTTTCAACTCCTTTCTTTTGGAGTTGAAGGGGAGATTTCATTACCTCACTGGTTACTTGCTTCTCTAAATACAGGCTGCGTAGGAACTCCACCCCCTTCTCCATTCAGAGCCCATTGGAGGCACTTCCCTGGCATGGTCAGCCCCCACCCCCTTAAAAAAAAAAAGGAAAGTAGAGTGGTGACTGCCTAAGACTGGGACATAGAGTCCAATTTCTTTGTGTACTCCTACCCAGTCCCCCGAGTTAGTCTCAGCTTCAAATCCCCACCTGGAAAATTAGCCTTTGGCACACCATCTTCCTATTTAGCACAGGTGGGTCTGGAAGCACTTATCATTTGTGCTTTACATCCTGCTTGGACCTGTGACGTGGCTTTTCAACAGCTACCAATTCCACTTTTTGGAAACTGAGGATGGTAGGGCTCAGGAAACCAGAAAATGTCAGGTCTGAGTGAGAGAAAAGAGCAAGCTGGGCAACACACAGAGCTCTGTGTATTCAGAGGCAAGTTGGCAGGGTTGTACTGGAACAGAGGAACTCCAAGTGGTACAAAGAGACGTGCCCAGAGTGGAGAAATCATGCTCATTGTCTGCACCAGAGCCCAAGAACTCAACCCAAAATGAAGAGAGAAAAGGGAGCCCTGTTCAGAGTCTCCAGCGCCCCACACCTCACTCCTTTCGTCTGCCTCCTCCTGATCCAGACAGGTAGGAGATGGGGGTGGCAAGCAAAAGGGTTTGGAGAAGGAACCAAGGGGCTTCTTTGGGGGAAACCAAAAAAGGGGGGTGGTCTGAATGTCTTTGTAGTGGGAGGAGGGAAGAAAGCTCAGCTGCCGTGGGAAGTATTGTGAATTCAGGCTTTTAGCCTTGAATACATTTCTTCATCCTGCTTACTTCCTCCCATCCTTCCCCCACCAAAACCACAAAAAAACAAAGGCTGCATGGCCTGGAGCTTCAACAACATTCAGTACATAAAGATGAGCTACATTGAACTGTTTCTTATAGCCTGGGTTGTTGGCATGGGTCCTTTTGGCATCTTTTAGATGATGACATGCTGGTAGGGGGTTTAAGGAGCAGTCTGGGGAGTGGTGCACTTTGCTTGATCTCCTCTGGACTTCTCTGGGATAGAGGCAAACAGTAAAAGAAGCTTTGAAGAAACAACATTGTGCCTCCCCTTCATTCCCTGTTCGCATCAACTTTGCCAGAGTTTCAAACCATCACAATCATCAGTCAAAATGCTTTTTTTTCAAAGCATTTACTGTGTTTCAGGCACTGTGGTAAGTCACAAAAGACCTTTATGCCACGGAGACCTACATCCTATACTGCTCCTGTCCATTTATTAGAGAATTAGAGTTTGTTGATAATGCCTCATAATAGTAGGAATGTGGGCCATTGTTAGCCTCCCACATCTGTGGCAATGTCAGCTTCCCTTGCTCGGATGAGTCTCAGTTATGTATGACTTTCTCCTCACAGCTCCTTTGCAAGGATGAAATATAGTTGGGATGGGGGATGGGGGGAAGGGCCATTCACCTAATTTTTCTTCTTTGAGTTAAGGTTGTTGAGGTCTGGTGCCTGTTTTTCTTCCCATCTCCATTTTGTGCCTCTAAAAGAAGAGTTCTTAACATGTTTTTATATCATGAATCCCCTTAATAGTCTAGTGAAGACAGTGGACCTCAGAGTGTTTTAAAATGCATGATATAAAATAAATAGGATTACAAAGGAAACCAATTATATTGAAGTAGTTATTTTTCTATTAAAAATATCCCCAACCAGGTTCATGGAACCCCTTAGAGGCATGGAGACCAGGTAATGCTGGGTGTCTTGGAATCCTGCATCCTCATAAAAAGGCTCAGGAGACACCAAGGGCCTTCCCTTCGCCATGGACATATGAGGCCCAGGGAAAATTTAATGAGGTTGAAGATCTAATGGATCCATGAGATTAAGAAGCCAATTCTGGATTTTCAAACTTGTCTTCTCACACTTGGGAGTTAGGGGTGCCTACACTCACAGAGGTAGCCTAGGGACTGCCAAAGTGATATGCCGAAGGAAAGGGAACAAGAATTTATAAAGTGCCTACTATGTGCTGGACCCTGCTAAGCACTTTATAGATATTGTCTGAGGCAGCATAACCTTCCACAACTGGGGGTTGAAAGGCCTCCATTGTATAACACTTGATCAGTAACTACTAGCTTATTATTCTCATTGGTAGGATTGAGTGGGATTCATCCTAAACATCCCAGTTCCCACCTCTGATTAAAGATGAGGGTTTTTTTTGTCTCTCGATAACAATTACTGTAGGCCAAGAGATTTCAAGCATCTGGTTGCCATCTGGAATCATGTCAGTCTGCTAGAGTCTGGCATCTGAAGTAGATCTTGAAGGATGGGGATGTCTTTTCTACTGAAATTTCTCTCTCATAGGTAGTCAATAACTTTCTTCTTGAAAAAAAATCTGAGGGATTTTTTTCTATTCTTTATTTTGCTTAGTCTTTTGGTGGCATTTGACACTACTGATCACTCTGTTCTTCTTAAAACTCTCTTTTTTGGGCTTCCATAACATAGTATCCTGATCTTCTCTTACCTCCTTAAATATTCCTCTTTATCCTTTGCTGGTTATTCAGTCTTCTCTCCTTGCTACCTCTAGGCATCCCCTAAATGCTCAGTTGTATGCATTTTGCCCCCTCTAAGAGAGCTCATCTACTGTCACATTTTCAACAACTGTCTCTATACTAATGACTTTAAAATGTTTTATTAATGAATTTTTACTTTTGCACCACATTTGCTTCTGAATAATCCCCCCCATCATACCCTCTTTTATAACAGAAAAAAAGTTATAAACAAAACCATTTGGCACATTGACTGAGACTGACAGAGCATGTAACATTCCTCATCAGTAATCCACCACTTCTCTACTAAGAGAAAGGTAATGTATTCTAACATCACTCATCTGGAACCAGTATCAATCATTGCTTTTGATCAGCGTTCTGTTATCTTTTACTATTGTCCTCATTTATATTCTTATAGTCATCTTGTATATTGACTATTCTGTTGGTTCTGCTTTCCTCATTCTCTGTCATTTCATAAAACTTTCCCATATTTCTCTGAATTCCTCAATATTGACCTTTATGGTGCAATATAACAATCCATATTCCTATACCAAGATTTGTTCAATCATTTCCAAATTTATGGGCACCCACTTTGTTTTTGTTATGACAAAAAGAGCTATGATGAATATTTGGTATGTTGCTAGTGACTTTAAAATCTATTGCTAAACCTGACTTCTTATCTGACACACTATCCTATATTTCAAATTGCTTCCCAGGACACCTTCCTTTGAATATCCTACTATTAACTAACCGGGGGGAATGATAGGATAGTCATGTGGAAGAATGATTAGGCTTATTTTAGGTCACTCCAGAGCTGAAGCAGAACAGTTGGGACTGTGACAGTTGGAGAAAGCTAAATTTCTGTATGGTATAAGGAAAAGCTTTCTAACAGTTAGAATTGTCTCAAAATGGGAAAACTTACTTGTGAGGTGAGTTCCCTTTCACTGTATGTGTTTGATAACCTTCTGTCAAAGATGTGAAGAGGGTTAAACTAGATAACTTCTAGGGCTTTCACATCTAGAAAGATTCTGTGATTTACCTCAAACTCACCATATTCAAAATCAAATTCATCGTCTTCTCCTCATCTTGCTCTGCCAACTATACTATCACCTAGCCACCTACACTAGAAATCCTGGCATCTTCTTTCAATCCTTCCTCTTCCTCACCCATTTATATACCTTATCAGGCACTAAATTCTGCCCATTCTTCCTTTAAACATTTCTTTGCCTTTTCTTCTTCATTCCCACCGCTCTAATTCACCTCACGTATGGAGTACTACAATAAACTCAAAACTAGTCTTCCCCTTCTCCAATCCATCATGTAAATTTCCTCCAAACTTAAGGAGCATTTGTGTTTGGTTTTGGCTCATTGCCACAAAGGATAAAATCAAGCCTATTTTGTAGTAACTCTGTCTGCAATATCTGAGTTAGCCACTGGATGGCGTTCCATTTCAGTTGTCTCCGGCCTGACATTCACACACAGATTGCCAACCTTTTGGTGAGCTAGGATAGCCCCTCTGGCCTTTACAAAGTGCTCCAAGCCAATCACGCAGGGTTGTTCTCCCCTCTGAATTTAGGCAGCTGCTTCCTACCCTTTTGGCAAAATGACGTCAAACCTTTGTGCAAATTACTGTGCTCCAAATCTAGGAAATGAAATATTAACATTTGAAATAGTAATTGTTATAATTATCTTGACTTGGTCTCCACATCTTGGGAGAATTCATCCTTTCAGTTTCTCTTACTTCTGTACCATTGATTTAGAGATGTACAACTTGTAATCTCTGCAGTTTTGTAATACAGAAATAAAAATAGGTAAGTTCTCTGAGATATACAAAGTTACCTATATCTTCCTTTTCCTTTTCCTTTCTGGTCTTCTGTGCAGAGGGGGAGAGCCCAAGGATCATAGAAAATGGGGGAAGAAGAGGGACTTCTGTGCCAACCCATGTGAATAAAGGAATGTGGAAAGAACAAAGAAATTGGCTTATCCATCTAATTGCCAGGCAGATTTCATAGAACTCATGGTTCTCAGCAAACTATAGGTGGCAAACCATTGGAGTCTGGTGTCTTCTCCCCTTGTGGTTTGGATTAGCCCCTCAGCTGTGTCATTTTGACTTCCGTTTTTTTTTAAGCTTTCTTTGTCTTCTCCCCTTGTGATTTGGATCAGCCCCTCAGCTGTGTCATTTCCACTTCTGTTTTGTTTTTTTTTAAGTTTTTCTCCCCAGTTAACAAGCATTTATTCCCCTCCCCCCCATGCCCTCTCCCATTGGAAAATAAAAGAAGGGTAAAAAACAAACCACTTCTGTTTGTTCGTACTATTTTCCCCTGCCTGGAAATAGCATGGAAATTTCTCTTCTTCCCACTCCTCCCCACCTACCCAAATCTTACCCATCTTTCAAGACTCATCCTGAGTCCTACCCTTTCCATGAAGCTTTCTCCTGCTACTTTAGTTAACACTAATCTCTCCCAGTCCTGACTTCCCATAGTATTTACTGTTTATATCACATACAGTATCACTAAATCATATTCTGCCTAATATTGTTCTTTGTTTCATGTATGGAAATCTTATTTTCCCACCCAAACTGTATGGTCTCTGAGGAGGGATAATAGATCTTATATTTCTTAATCTTCTCCCTCTGCCCTCCAAAAAACATTTAGCACAGTGCCAGGCACATAGGTACTTGATATACACATAAGCAAATCAATTCAACAAACACTTATTAAGTATCTATTCTGTGCAAAACAGCTAAGTTAGTGCTAGAGTTTCAGGGTTTTAGATGGCAGGATGAGAAGTTTGGACACTAAAGGCCAGTACATGGTGAGAAGGTCATTATCAATTGGACAATCAAGAAAGGCTTCCCGAAGTATTTGTCATTTGAATTAGGTTTTAAAGGATTGTTAGGAATTCAATAGAAGGAAAAAAGAAAACAGAGGACATGGTAGGCATTGGAAACCGTGTAAGCAAAGGCAGAGAAATGGGAAGATATAGGGTATGTAAGCACTAGTTCAGATTGGCTAGAAAATAATTTGTGGAAAGAGAGTAGAATAGACATGGCTAGAATGGAAGGGTGTTGCTAGATTTTGGAAGGCCTTGAATTCCAGTCAAAGG